TGGTGGTTGAAGGTGGAGAGTAGTGGAAGAGCCCCCCTCCTCTACATGTAGGAGGTACTATTCACTTTAAAGGGGATAATTAGGTCGTGGGAAAGTAGATCAGGCCTTGGGCCAGCCCACTTCAAGCCCAACTAGCAAGGAGCTAGGCAATGCCGCCCGGAGGCGCGTACTAGGCAAGGATGGCAAGCAGGTGCCAGACAATGCTGGCAGGCGCGCAATAGGCAATGCTGGCGGGCGTACACTAGGAAAAGCTGGCAAATGAGCACCAGTTAAGGATGGCAGGATAGCGTCAGGCAACGCTGGCAAGGGAGCGCCAGACAGAACTTACTGGAGAGCGCCAGCCAAGGCTGGCACGCCAGAGCTGTCTGGGCCATGCTAATGGACCTAACATCATCAATATGTGTGTATGTGTGTGTGTGTGTATATATATATATATATATATATATATATATATATTCAAATTCTAGCTTGTTACAACTTAAAAACAATATTTTTTTTAAAATAACCGCTTAAGGGTTTTTACTAAAAAAAGAAAAAAAAAAGAACCGCACCAGTGAAATCAAGAGAGGGGGCGGGATCAATGTTTTAAAAAACCGGTTTCAATCGGTTGGACCGAGAACCGGAGAAGAAAACGGTTCAACTAACACCGATTTATGTCTATTTCTAAACCGGAATTCACGGTCCAATTTTTAGAAAAAACCCTGTTAAACCCGTTAAATTAAATAAAAACACATGGAAATAAATCATTTTGCATAACAAATTTGGTGTTTTTTCACATCTATTTAAATTTATTTAAATAAAAAACACATGATAAATGTTATAAAGTTTTTTAATACGTTTATATTTATCAAACCTATAATTTGTTTATGTATTATATTTTATTTTCTTTTTTATGTACTTGGATTAATGTAAACTTTATGATTATGTGTTCTTAATGTATTTAGATTGATCTACGACCTCTATTTGTGTGTGTATCTATGTATAGAAAAATAAGAAAAGAGATAAAAATTACTCCGTCCGTCTTAAAATTATAGTCCATCTTTCCTTTTTGGTTTGTCCTAAAATAATAGTCTACTTCTAAAAATAAATAACATTTTTAACAAAATACCCCTCATTATTATTTAACCAACTAAGAATTTAATGGAACATTAAATGCAAAGTAAGGATAAAACTGTCATTTTATTGTATAAATTTAGTGGTAATTAATACTTTCGTAATCTGTGTGTTTTTTTGTCTGTGAACAATAATTTTGGGATCGAGGAGTATATAAACCGGTTGAAAAATCGGTCAAACCAGTTAAACCGATTGAACCTGGAAACGATCACCCTCTACTGGTTCTGCAGAAAAACCGGTTTTTAAAACATTGGACGGGATAACCTTCTGCAAAAAAAAAAAACTGGTTGTTTTCCCGCTAGGCACCCTCCAATCTTAGGGACGATGTTTGGCTTGAGTGATACGAGAGGGAGTTTATTTCCGTAATATATAGTGTTAATTTATGAATGTGCGTGATGTCAGGTCAAGGATGTTGGCGTGTTCCCTTAGATCCGTACTACAGTACTACTAGCTTTGCGTCAAACCTTCTTCCATTAATTCCCCCCCTCTTCTTTTTCTTTTAGTAGAACATAACCCTACATTTTATTTATACAAATTATATATTATTATCATTATTTATACATATTCACACTAAATTTACTTTTCTACTAACAACTAATTGATATAAAATATCAATAACATGGAGTACGTTTTATGATATATTTATATAGATAATATTTTAGTTATCGAATGAATGATCAACAATTTTTTAATAAACTTTGTTTTATATCAAAGATTCTATCGATACTGATTGTGTGGTTTTAGAAGGGTATAATTAGAAAATAGACAAAGTTACGCAATTGGTTTCTAGTGTTTTTTTTTTTTTTTTTGTAAAATACATGCAGTCTTTATTATTTTTTTTTAACAGTAGTGGGATTAAACACATACCACACTACAATCTAGCCGAAAAAACCAAAAGGTCAAAACAAGAATATTAAGAAATAGCAATATTTGGGTTTTGAAACCAATCCACCCAATTGACAGAAAACTCCGTACTCCTATCATTAACCCAAAAATACGATTGAGTGGCAATGTTGTTACGGCTAATCTCCACTTTTTTGTGGCAAATAGGAAATTATTTCTACAGTTCCAAATCACCCACCACACATCAAGAACACCCCTCTAAGCAATTTCTAAAAGACTTATGTAGATACAGAGCCGAAAACCAAAAGATTCAATCTTCAAGAGAGGCCAAAACTGAAATAGAAAGATTCCAATATATATATATATATATATATATATATATATATATATATATATATATTGGAATCTTTCTATTTCAGTTTTGACCTCTCTTGAAGATTGAATCTCTTGGTTTTCGGCTCTGTATCTATATATATATATATATATATATATATATATATATATATATATATATATAGAGGTAAGTTCTTGAGAAAATCAAAAAGTTTGAGAATTGGGGAATCATTCTCAGCCATTCATTTATTTTTGCCGCAAAAGTCTCCGTTGTACCAACGGAAATGGATGAGGAATACATATGTGTTTCCAACAAAACATGTTTTCTTAAACTATCCTAATCATTATCTTAATATATATACAAAAACATAGTTTTTTTTTTTCATTTTTTTAATTTTTAAGAAGTTATTTTTATTGAAAAATGATTTTAAATATACCAAAATTCAAGATTTTTTATTCTCTACAAATAGACATCCATATTGATATACTTTTAAGATAATTTTTTTTTTATATTTTCAGCTATCGTTATTCATAAGTGAATAAAAATGAATCAGATTTTTGCTACAGTACATTCGTTATTCACTTATGAATAAAAATATATAATTAATTTTTTTTACAGTTTAATTATCATTTATACTACTTATTCATATATGAATAACAAATTAACTGTAACAAAAATCTGATAAATGTTTTATTCATATATGAATATAAAATATGACGAAAACTAATACGTGTTTTATTCATATATAAATATAATATGTGATGAAAGCTGATGTAAAAAAATATATTTTAAGTAAGAAAACTTTATTACGTGTCATACTCATATATGAACGATACTTAAACTATAAAAAAAAAAGTTAAGCATACGTTTTATTCATAAGTGAATAACGAATGAACTGTAATAAAAATCTGATAAATTTTTATTCACTTATGAATAACGAGAGCTGAAACTCTAAAAAAAATATATTTTTTATTTTATCTTAAAACTATATCAATATAGATGTCTATTTATAGAGAATAAAAAATTATGAATTTTGATATATTTAAAATAATTTTTCGATAAAAATGACTTTCTAAAAATAAAAAAAAAATATAAAAAGTATGTTTTCGTATATATTAAGGTAATGATTAACATAGTTTAATAAAACATGTTTAATTGGAAAACACATGTTTATCCGTTATCCATTTCCGACGGTACGCCTAAGTGTTTTGCGGCAAATAAATGTGGGGCTGAGAATGATTCCCTCATTCTCAACCTTTTTTTTTCTCGGTTGAGAACTCATAGTTTCCCGAGAACCCGAGAACTAAAAATGGAGCGTTGGATCAAAAGTAATTCATTAAGGACATGATCGTCATCTTACCAATCTCATTTAATATTTAATTTTTTGTGTTATTTAATATATTAATATAAATGTCTAAAAATTACATCATAAATCAAATTTTCAGATTTTTTAAAAAATAGTATTTTTTTTAAATGCAGATTTTTTAATTTTTTTTATAGAAAACATGATTTTTTGAAAATTTTTTTTAAAAAAAATTGCAATTTAAAAAAAAAAGAACTGCATTTTTTTTCAAAAAAACTACAATTTTTTTTAAAGAAAACATCAATTTTTTTAAAAAACTGCATTTTTAAATAAAAAAAACTGCAATTTTTTCAAAAACTGCAATTTTTTCAAACAAAACTGCAAGTTTTTTAAAGAAAGTTATATTTTTTTCAAAAAAAACTGCATTTAAAAAAAAAGTGCAATTTTTTCAAAAAAAAAATCTGCATTTTTTTTAAAGTAAATTTTTAGGTGCATATATACATATTTTTTCAAATGCATATATGTGTATTTATTATACTATAATATTCATAAGTAAATAGCAAAAAATCTCATTTTTATTAATTAATCTATAAACATAATAGTATAAGTATTTTATTCGATATAAAATAAAATATAAAAAATAAAAAATGCTACAAATCTCAAAGCGTTTTCATGTCTTCGTGTCAATATTTCCTTATTTTCTTCAATTTATCATTTTTCATCTCTTCAATATTCACCACAATTTCTTCCAAATCTACAAGAAAATAAAAAAATAATAATAATTGATGCAAAAACACTCACAAAAATACATTTGTGATTAACATATGAATCACATGCGATTCACATATGAATCACATTTACATATGACATCATATGTAAATCACATGCGATTCACATATGAATAACATGTGATTCACATGTGAAACACATATGATTTGCATGTGAATCGCATGTGATTTACATGTGAATCGCATGTGATTTACATGTGAATCAAATGTGATTAGTATGTGAAGTACATGTGATTTTCATGTGAATAACATATGAATGTGTACATATATACGTAATTCATATGTAATTCACTTGTGATTTACATGTGAATCACATATTATTCATATATGATTTACATGTGATTAATATGTGAATCACATGTGATTTACATGTGAATCACATATGATTTACATGTGAATCACATGTAATTCACATGTAAATATATGAATCACATCCAAATTAATACAATGGATATTATATACGGAAAAAAAGATAATAATTAAGACTACACACCTGGAATCCAATCTAATGACATGGTATTTGATCCTAAAAGAAGTATGAAATGGTATGAGTCATCCAAGATAAAGATTAGGGTAGGTAAATAGTGGATAACAATCAATAAAAGGTCAGGGAGTTAGATCATACCTTATCAAAATTCACAATAAAAATTGCAGTTGGCATTGGTCTGTCAATCTCTTCAATAGAATATCCTATATTCTCAAAGTAAAACATATAGGAATATAACTTTTGAAATTCAGGCTCCACAGCTGTTGCATTAATCTCGAATACAGGCACTTCCCTTCCAAAATCAGTCTACAAGAAAATACGATATAAATAGAAATATTGAGCATAACTATAAATTAAAACAAACATAAACACTTGAATTTACCTCTCTGGAAATGCCAGCAGGAACCATGGCTGCTTTCAGAGCCTTTTCCAATGCTATCACTTCCGGCTGTCCAACCTGTAAGCAAGTATATGAAAGAAAAGTGCAATGATGAGAACCAGGATATGACTAAGATAGTAAAGAGATTAATAATCCATTCCTCATTTACTTTCCTTTTGACATTTAAGTTAAAAGAAAACACATCCTGATAGAATTTATCATAGCTACAATAACTGCCCTCTAAGATAATGCCTAAATTGGTAGATGATTATGGGTACCAATTTCTAAGGTGTTTCTTTGGAAAACATTGAAATAAACCGAACTCAAAATAATGCGAAAGCAATGGGATGATGATCCCACTAAAGATTCTGAAATGGAATCTTAATCAAGTTAAAAAGAAATTACTCCTAAAGAGTTGCTGTAACAGTAAACAAAAATCAATTTATGCACATATCATTTACAATCTGAATGGAATGCCAAAGTGGAAACATTGTCAAGGTAAACCAGTTTGGATTGGGACTGTGGATTAGACTCTCTAAAAGACACTATGTAGAAAGAGCATACTGGAATTGCATTAAACACCATGTGATGCTCAATATAAAGGGGCTCACCTGTCTCCAAACATGAGGGCCTGTGAGTAGGGAAGCCAACTTGAAGAAACTCTTGCAATTTTTGAGAATTTAATGTGTATCTATAGCCTCCATCTCCACTGAAACCGATGAGGATAATATTTACTTCAAGTGGAACTTGGAATGGAACCTGCATTAATATCATAGTAACTGAGGCATAAAAATCAAAAAGTAGTACACGTGACTGCAAATGATATAAGGCATCAGAATAGCATAACATCCTGAATCCTGAGTTTAATTAATGGCAACTTTCACACTTTTCATAGATTCACTCCAACAAATTATATTTCTGCTATATAATTAGGATCATGCTGACCATCAAATTCTGTTGACAGGCAATAAGAGAGATTGACTACATCACTAAACTTCAATTTGACTCGCTGATCCACAGAAAAATGTGATCTAACAAATCAAACAAACTAAAGAAGGCACATGAAATTTAGATGGATAAATTGAGCGATTGTTAATCTTACGCTGTCACATAATCAATCTGTTAGAAAAACAACGAATTATTATTCTAATTTCATTCAAACGGTTTCAATTCGAGTGTGCATATATATTCATAACAGTTTTTTAGATGAAATATGGGTAAAAAATGAGAGATCTAATTAGTAATTTATGAATTAATAAACCTACATGAACTTAAATCTATACTTATTTTTTGAATGATACCGGAAGTAGTTGAAAATGATGGATGTACGAAAACTTGTGTAAATCTGAAATTCAGAGTGGAAAAGTTCAAACCTGACTGGCAGCGATGTTTCTGGAATGATTGTTCATATCATCAGGTGAGTTGTGAGAAGACATCACGACGGCGACGACGATAATTGAGTCGGTAGAGACTTTCGGAACTCCGTCGTCTCCTCTAGCATCACTAACATTCCTCTACAATATCGATCTCGATAGCCACTGATTGTTGTTATTGTTAGCAGCCTGATGGTGGTGACGATGATGTGGTGGTGATGTTTGGGAAGAATCGTTCGGATGATATGCCATTAGAAGACTACACTGTATACAGTAGCTTGTGTAACAATGGATCTGGTCGGTGAAGATGATGCGGCGGAGGTGCTGCAACACTCTTTGCTTTCTACCGATCAGAAGGGAGAGAAGGCACAAATGTCGGGGGAGAGAAGAAAGTTGTTGAAGGAAGCATCGGAGAAGAAAGTCGTCTGGAGTATAATGAGGGTTGGGGTTGTGTGAAAGAGATCATTTTGCAAAATTATAATCGATTAGGATATGATTTAATTATTTTTTTGTTTCCAATATTGCCCTTGTCTAGTTTAATTAAGATACCCCCAACTCTTTAGTTTTCTACTTATTTACAAAAACGCCACCTTGCATCTTATCCCTTCATTTTTTTGATTTAATGCTCCACTTTTAGTTCTCGGGTTCTCGGGAATCTATAGTTTCTCAAATGATAATTATTCTCTCTCTCTCTCTCTCTATATATATATATATATATATATATATATATATATATATATATATATATATATATATATATATATATATATATTGAACGACAGTATATTACAAAATTACAAAGGCTCTAGAACACACAGGTTACAAAAAACAGTTTAGAAGAGTTGAGAAACATCATTGAGACCAATCAAACAAATTGAAATTTGACTTATGAGTAATCCAAGTGAAAACGAAAGATTGTATGTCATCCGTCGTCTCCAAAGGGTTAACTTTCGAGTGCTTAAAGATAATTCGGGTTTTGGCTCACGATATTAACAATAAAGTCAAGTAAATAAGGGAACCTATTAAAAGAATCATGTAAAGCTCCATATTTCAACCTAACATTTTCTTTTGAAAATATAGTAAACCATTCCAAAACATTTTCATAAAATGAAAAAGTAGTACAATACTTTAAAACATCATCAAATCATAGTAACAAATGTATCAACATTGATTTATGGAAAACATTGTGTCAAAATCATCACAATCAGCAGAAGTCTAAAAACATGATTATAAGTGATACCCATATAGTACAGTCAACCTGGAGCATGCTCAGAAGAACTACTGGAAAAACATTTAATCCATAAATGATAATACAATGCTTAGTGAGTTCCACAAAATACCACACACTATAATACATATACAATGCAAATAAACAAAGTCTCTTGGTTCTAGTATCAATCGACCTGATCAAATGACGACTAACATCTGTAGTGCATATATAGTCATAAAAAACGACTAATGGATCAAGTACACATTTAGTCAATTACGTTAGTATTGGCTTTTGGTTGTAGTGTCATAGATATCAATTTATGCATCTTCTAGGGTAGTTTTATTAACATTTTGCATCATATGTTACGCATTTGCATGTGCATTAGTTTAAATAATGTTCAGATCATGTTTATCGTCAAAAATTCCGTACTACTTGCCTTTTTATGTATTTTTTAGGTATTTCGAGTGGAGCGGTGATTTGGAAGTAGGTTGGATGCATATTTGGAGCCAGAATACCTAAGGGAGCTGGAAGCTAGGTTAGATTTGCTTAAACTGAAGAGTTCGCATCTGCAACGCCAGTTTTTTAGAAGACATGATCCTATTTTTCTCCATGTGATCATGCTTTTAGTCGTGCTTCATCTTCGCAACTTTTCCAGGCCAAAAATCAAATTTCAGGACTTCATATAATTAAAAGGACCGTGTTCCTCCATAAAACACGATCATGTTTTTGTCAAATATACCCAAAACAACATTGTACTTCATTAAACGCAAAAAATGGAGAATTCGAGACTTCGGAGAAAAAAACACTATCAAAACGATCATGTTTTTTTCCCTTTTCGTGTTTTTTGTTGTTGGCTCATATATAAATACCTCCCATTTGATCAGTTTGAACCCTGGACGTTCCCAGACGAAGAAAAACCATTTTCAAACGATTTTTGAGGCGTTTTCTCTCCGTTTTCATCAATTCCTAAAGATCTGAAGGTTGTTGATCATCTCCATAAGTTAGATTTTAGCCATGTATAGCTAAACCCTAGATTTTAGCCATGTATAGCTAAACCCTAGATTTCAGTTCTTCACAGTTTAGTACTTTTCACGTAATCAATCACTAGATCTGGTTTTTTATTTGTTATTCTATCTAGACTTTTCCGTTTTATGCTTAATGAATGTTTTATTTTGATTCTTTTTAGCTTGAATATCCTAATTTAGGATCAAATCAATCTAGTTAATCGGTTAATGGAATCCGTAATTATTCTAATAAACTGGTAATAAGTAACAAGTATCAGATTGGTTCCGTGTTGAGATTTAATTTTGATATAAATTGAAATTTCATATTTTTACTCTTCTAAGCTTGTGAGAAGTATTAAATATTGTTCGGACTTTTACACAGATCTTAAGGCTGCTTTTCTGATTTTAGTTAAGAGCTAGTTTAATTGAATTAGTAAAAAGTTAGGGTTAATTGAAGTGCTTGTTTTGGTTAATTAATTCGGTAAAATCAAACTTACTAGAGCTTGTTAGTAGTTTTCAGTACCAGCTTAGATAGAACACATTTTGAATAATCAGGTCAATGTTGATTGCATGATTAGGAAAGTCGCAGCAAAACTGAATTCGTTTTTTATTATTGAATTTACTTTAGTTATTTTCACTGCTATTTTAGTGTTAATTATTAATCAAAAATCCCCATTTATATTTACTGTTTTCTACTAGAATATGTCTTACGCAAAAAGGCACTGAGTGTTAGGTTGTATCCATGTGGATTCAACCCTACTTCCATGTGTTACCTATTAGTGCACTCGAGCAGTGATAACTTATTTGCTTAACACGCTCGCGACATCGTTTTAACGAATTAGCGTAGTTGTCGGGGACAAGATGATGTTAATAGTTTGTATGCCCATATCTTTGCGTACAGGTACACCATTAGATTTTAATCCAGAGATGGAGAGGACTGCAACAAAAACTGAGGAAACAAGCAGCTCAACAAAAACTTTCATCGAATTTCTTTGCTTTATCATCTACTCTAGCCTCAGAGAAAACTGAACCATAAGGCAGTCCCTTGTGGAACGAACCGGACCCGACTTTTCCATCCAACCCAAAAGTACCACCATATTCATCCTCTTATAGCAAATTTAAAAAATATTCCCCACCACCTTCTGAAAAATCCGAAACCACAGACTCTTCTGAAACCGAATCTGATTTAGACAATTCAGCCATGGGAGACGCTGAAAACGAAGAGAAAATCCTAAGACAATGGGCCACCCAAGAGGTTACTCAACAACCCCTCTACATCAGCTTTCTAGAAGCCCAAAACTTTAAGCTGAAATCTGGACTGATACACCTCCTTCCCACCTTTAGAGGCTTAGAAATGAAGATCCACATAAATTCCTCAAGGAATTTCATGTGGTTTGTTCAGGAATGAAACTATACGCTATCATAGAGGATGAGGTAAAGTTAACGGAATTCTCCTTTTTCATTTCAAGATTCGTCAAAAGTGTGGTTATATGATCTCCCATCTGGCTCCATCACCACACGGAATGAGCTTGCGAAGCTTTTTCTGGAAAAATATTTTCTGTAATTGCGAGTCTCAAACCTTCGCAGAGAGATCCTTGCTATCAAATAAGGAAAACGAGAAGCCTTTCATATATACTATGAACGTTTCAAAAAGTTACGTGTTCGGTACCCATAACACGGAATAAACGATTACCAGTTGTACCTATGCTTCTATGACGGACTGACACCAATGGAGATAAGGTTGATAAATGCTTCAAGTGGCAAATCTTTAGGCGATATGACATCTACTAAAATCCAGGAGTTGATAGAAAAGTTGGCCATTGAGTCGAAACGTTCCTGTAACAAAGAAGAGTGGTATCCTGATCAGCCAAAGGGTGTCCAAGATGTTAGCTCACATCATCTGGAAGCCCAAATTTCTAAACTGACGAAAGTGGTGTTATTGCTGGCAAAAGAAAAAGGAGTTGAAAAAAAAACAGTGTGGTATCTGCTTAAAATCTGAACATCCCACTGATATGTGTCTACTACTACAAGAGGATGTAGCTCTAGTGAAAGTTGTCAGAGGATACCAGCAACTGAAAATTTTTAATCAACCTGCAAATTTTTATAAGAACAGTAATTATCAGGAAAGACATCAATTTCAGCACCCGTTGGGTTTTCAGCAGTTAAATTTTGAGCAGAATCAGCTTCAGCAACCAACTTATCAGAATCTGCACCAACAAATTTTTTAGCAGCAACATACTTTGCATCAGCAATCAGGCAGCTCCATTGTGGCCTTGGAAGACATAGTAAAAGGCCTAGCCACCAACGCTCACGCATTCAAGAATGAAACCAGGGTTAGTATAAAAAATCTAGAACAATAGGTGTCTCAACTTTCCACTTCTATGAGTCGGCTTGATTCTCAAGGAAAAGTACCGGGGTAAACTGAAAATAACTCAAAACATAATGTGAGCATGATTTCCTTGAGAAGTAGGAAGAGTTATGAAGGCCCAAGCAAATCTGAACCAGAAGATGAGGCTAAAAAAGAAACTAAAGAAGTTTTAGGGGTAAAAAGAATCTAAAAAGGATGTAGAGAAACAAACTACCAAGCCAACAAAATCATTTCTGAAAGAGTATAAGCCAATCCCACCATTCCCATATAGACTACAGAGTACAGAGCACGAGCGAGAGGATGAGCAAATCATGAACACCTTTCGTAAGGTGGAAGTAAATATTCATTTACTTGATGTTATTAAATAGATTCCTTGTTATACTATGTTTTTAAAAGAATTATGTTTTTCAAAGAAAAAGATAAAAATTAACAAAACACTAAGAGCTGGTGAAAATATCTCTGCTATTTTGCAAAAAGGCTT